ACTGATGGAATGAATTCTGCTCCGGTTCTTCTACACAATATATTATTATAGGGATGCTTGTACCTAGATATAGCATAGATAATAGTTGATAGTTCGGGCAGATAATGATAAAATTGAACTTGGGAATCAGGACGAAGGATTCTTAGGTTCAAAGTCGGGATTTTCTTTCTGCTCAGTATGAACACTTGAACGGGCTAATCAACGAAGCAAAATTAGTGGAAATTGAATCTTATGACACAGAAGTTATAACAGTCGATGAATGAAACATATTGATAGGACACCTTATACTAGACAAAGACTAAGACCTGAAGACCTGCACAACTTTTTGGACACTAAACAAACCTTTGACAGATACCTAAGTCTTAAAATACACATAACATCCCGCCTTTTATCCCCGAAGGGGTAGGCAGAGGTGCACATTACGGCACTAAATGCCACTGTACAATGTAACACCCACTTTTCACTATTTATGTTATGAGTCCCATGTAATAGGGGGTGAGCCTATTTGTTTGAACGCGCTAATCTCCGTAACTACAAGTCTAATTTGAATAATTCTTTTGGTGTTGGATAGCGCATTTATCGAGGATGGCTATAGGCTATAAAAAATCATGCTGCGACCAATAGAAGCTAAGTAGTGCGTGTGAAACCGCGCGGAAGTAGCTAGTTCAAAATAAATATACACTAACAAACATATTTTTTACCTACAACACGTGTAACCTTTGGCCTAAATTATACCAAACCAATAAACACAATTGTTGACAAAATCACCAACAGGAATCTATCAAGTTTTGGTCAAATTACCCGTTAGGGGCGGGGCAGGCGCGTGCGCAACCTCTTAGGTCGAAGTGGAGCCCTAATGTTGGTGACGTCACGTGTCAGCCACGTGGCCGCTAAGCTAAAGGACCTTTAGTAAGTAGATAAATATATTTTTGCAAAATGGGTGTTTGGAGAATAAAGTCTATTTTGATTTCTGTGAAAAAGTACTTAGTGTAAAGACGAATAAAGTGGGATGAAGCTTCATTCCATTTTGGTAGCAAAACTTACAATTGTAATAAGTTTAAGCAGTTACCTAGTAACTTAATCTAATTAGAAGCTACATAATGCTAATTGATTACCTTAATATCATACGAGGTTAAAAACATCATTAGTGAAAAACAGGGCGTAGACACAATTCATGTTTTTGTAGAATACTACCCGGAGTAGTACCATGTTATACTTGTGATTTATGGTAACAAAACGATGTACAAATAGACGTCTTTTATACCCTGACAAGTAAGCAAGGAGGTGTTACTCTACAGAGACTAAAAAGCCATAAACAACACAATTATAATGAGCAAAAAAAAAAACAAAAAAAAAATTAGCAGATTAGTAACTGTCACATTATCGTAAATATTTAATCGCTTGTAATATTTCTTTGAAGTTTTTTACATACTAATTACAACCACACATGCTCATATTAATAAACGTCAAATTTAATTAGTTGACGTCGTAAACGGGAAAATAGACGCGGGAAAATAGCACTACCTAAGTACTTACAGCCAACAAAAAAATATTACTAATTAAACTATCCGCGGCCATATTAAAAATGATTTCGAACTCGCAAAGTAATTATTCACCCCTGGTTTTATTTCACAACATAAATTCACTGCTGCAATTAACTTAAAAGCTATGTTGAGCAAAGTGTGGCTCGACCCTTAAATAAGGGTCACGACACACGTGCCGACTCCGCCCACGTTTAGTTCGGCGACCGCAATGTTGACGGTACGTGAAAAATAGTGTGAATTGGGTAATTTACGAATGGTATATAAAACTGGGAGCTATTTATGGTTAAGTGTAGGTGTATGGATGGGGAACTATGTGCTAAGGTTTCAGATTTTTCTAGGTTTATGTACAATTTATTTGATAGCGTAAGCACTGGGCATATACACATGCCGTTGTATGTTTGAAATTATTTAATAAATATGAATGATAAGTAGAGTGCCCAAATACTTACTTAATAAAATATCGAACTAATATAGTGTTTAAAAAGGTTTTCAGTAGGTAGTCAAATTTACAATTATTTATTATCGACCATTTTGTTAAATTCAAACCAACTTTTACAGACCTATTGTCACGCCAGTCAACTTGGAAACAATTTACGAACTTTTGAGTTTTCATTTCTAATTTTAAACCCAAGAAACCTTACAAGTCTCAAACAACCCTTTAAAATTCAATAACAACCCACGCATATCGTTTAAAAAGTAAAATCTTTCAATAATTTTAATCGCATGTCAATGGGGTAACCCCAAACGGACGAGGTCTGACGCACCCCAACTAACCCTATTGTCACTTTCACATTGACAGTGAAAACTGTCAACTGTCAAAAGCAGCCAAGACGGTTTAAACTATGCGTTCCATTTTCGCTTTTCATATTTGGAAATCTTTTGTTGGGCGCTCGGCGGGCGCTCTTATGTGAGAACGTAAGCGCTTTTTCGATTATGTGCACCGAGCTTTATTTAAGTGTGGCTCGTATTCTGTTGCTTACGATATTGCGTTTTGCTTGCTTCTTATTGTTATGGTTTTATTAATAAGAATGTTGTTTCATTTGTGTTTCAAATGGAGTTGCGAGTGATTGTAAATCTCTGTGTGATTGTTTTTCTTTCTGTGTTTACCGTCTATAGAAATAGTATGTAGTGTTTTTGTTTTTTACTGTTTTCTTTTATAATGTACTATGGATAATAAACTACGACAAAAGAATTATGTATTTCAGAAGACAGATCTGCTATAAAAACTATGGAAGTAAAGTAGGCTATCGTTACAATTGATCCACAATTTTTATAAGAAAAGATTTGAACCCAAGAAACTTCAAAGCGTCATCACAAGAAGTTCCAACACAACAATTTGATATGTGAACATTCTGATGACAACAAATAAAAAATTTGATCAAGAATCATCTTTGAAAAGGGCGTTACAAAACTTTCTAATAAAATGATACAACTTCGGGCATCGAATCACGTACTATTGCGGGTGCCATAAATAACAACGTTTATGTTTTGATATCAGTAAATAGCATATTAAATATATAGTTTTTATGTATAAAAAGGTATACGTGTAAAATTCAACCGTCAGTTTTATTTTAGGAGTTTGAAAGACTTGATCGTGACTATGGGCCGTGGGCGTTATTTTTTGTTGTTGTGTAGGCGATCGACCCATTCGCAGCGTTTAGTGGGTTGTACTTGAGCTAGTTGATGGTAAGTGGTAGCTACTGGAAGATAGTGGGACATGTTGGGGATGGCATTCAATTCTTTCAAGGTAATTTGCTAGAGTGTAACAGGAGAAAAGTGGATCTCATTCCTTTTCGCGACCAACGGTTCTATAACAAACACAATTGTATCAAAATTTCTGATGACAAAAACATAATAACAAACTTTCTTATACCAAAACCTTTACATAAACAAAACCTATTAAATAACGGTGAAAAGAAACAAAAACTGTCCTATAATATCTTTTTACTCATACACAAAAAGCTTCATGTACTTACTCTATCTTGTCCACTGCGTCAAAACGAGACAGAGCAATTGTGTAATCCCAATTCGACTAGCGGATTCGATGACATCGAATGAATGGGCTGATAACGTCAGTACAACCGGCCCTTTTGTGTCCAACCTTCTATTTAGCTATTTGTACAGAAACTTTTATAACATTCACTATATAAGAGAATTGTTTCGGTTTGAAAAAATGTATTGGAATACGATATTGGATTGTGGACTGACGCGGAACGACAGTTTTGACTGATTTAGTTTGATGAATGCGTAACTTGTGCTATAGGAGAGATGTTGTTGATATTTGGTGCAAAAAAATGGAATAGAGAATACCTCATTAACATTGGGCATCTTTTCTACAGCAAGTAAGACCTTTTGATAGTGTTTTGAGGCCAGCAAGTAAGACCTTTTGATAGTGTTTTGAGGCCTTATTTCAGAGTCTATTTTGAAGCGAACTATACCATTTGCAGTAGTTTTTCTACGGAGTAAGAATAAGTAACTTACAATTATCATTTTACTGATTTTTCAGGACCAAGACTTCGTTTGATAAAAAAAATTACAGCCACTAGGAACGAAGAAAAAAATGACCTTTGTAAACGATACCTCAGTCCAAACACGGGGACAGACTAACCGACTTTTACGATGAAATCCGAATGTGAATACAATCGTGTTGTCCGTCCATCGACAGTACAATAAAATGCAATAAACAATGGTTTTTATAAACCATAATGAAAGCTCTTCATCGACAACTTTTTGTTCAACAACGACGATTAGCGGTAATCAGCGACAATGTTGAGTTTATGACTTTTCTTATCTTCTATCTGTTTATTAGTTATTCGGAGTATTTTTGTGAAATTATTGCTCTTTGTTTCATTTTGATGTAATTGTTGTGGATGTGTTTGTAATAACTGTTTTGTTCATTAAAGTTTTTTATGGGATACAAGAATCAAGCAGACGGATTACCTAATAGTATTTAAGCAATTGGCGCCACTCAGTGCGTTACTGGACTATTGGGGGTTATTGATTTGGGCATTGGGGAGGGAAAAAACACAATGCAACTATGGTTTTATGCCGATTTTCTGGTAGGTCGGTCAAGTTATCACACTGCTAAAGTATTTTAAATTATTTAAGTCACGTCACATCTCGTAAAAAAGCTAACATAGAACTATAACATAACACAATGTCACGCCTTTTATCCCGGAAGGGGTAGGCAGAGGTGCACATTATGACTGTCACTGTACAATTTGACAACCACTTTTCACTGTTTATGAAACTATGTATGTTATGAGTCCCATGTAATAGGGGGTGAGCCTATTGCCATATACCAAAATTCCAGACTCCGTGCTACTACTGAGAATTTAAAAAACCCAGTAATACTTTACTCGACTCGAGAACCCTTGCCCGGCAGTCGCAATAGCAAACATTCGGGCATGAGAATTATTTTCTATGAAAATAAGAAAGAGCGTGATGAAGACTTACCAGCTCTAAGGGCATCCATGGGCACGCTAGGATAGGGTATGGAGTAAGGATACCCCTCCTTCCTCAGGGTCTTGGGCTTCCTCCGCGGCCGGTACTTGTAGTCAGGATGCTCCTTCATGTGCATAGCTCTGATGCGCTTCGCTTCATCTATGAAGGGCCGCTTCTCGTCTTCAGAGAGAAGCTTCCATTCAGCACCTGTAGAAAATAATAGGATTAGAATTGGATATTGATAATATTAGTTAGGTCATTAGTCATTTAGGTTTTGTTATGCATGTTTGTTTTATTTATGCCATAAATTAAATCTTATTTACTTATATTTTTTTAACTTAATAGGAATTAAAGTTTAGGATTTGCAAGCAGAATCCTATTTTAGAAAACATAAGTACTAATAATTTAAATTGTTAGGTATGCTATTCTGAAATCCATAATTTTCTGTCCAAAAACAGATCCAAAGATCCAAAAAAGGATGTACAGGTAGATAAGTAAGTACCTACACAAATTTTTGGGGATCACGATTTCCAAATTCGACAATACTTCACTAAAAGTAAATAAATAAAGCTAATAGCTATCTAACAAGTTTATTTCAGTTATAAAAAACCATTCACACTACGCTAACCAAAAATTTCATACCCACTTATAAAAAAACTTTTAAAAATATGTTATTTCATAATATTTCGCACTTGGATGCACTAACAGGTTCCATACAACTGAAACTTCAGGCTTTTATTGCACAATTCATAATAGACCGTGTAAAATAGCTATTAGCGTCCTTTTTCAAATGTATTTTGACCATAATAGTCATTTGTACGCATTCAAACAGTCTTTGACCATTTATGTTATAAGTTCTGTAGTTTACTAGACTTATTAACAAATGTATGTATTTTTTATTATTGAATGTTTTGTTTTCGTAAGTGGTCCTTAGATAAAAAACGCATAGGAAGTTGTTGTTCAAGTCTTCACAAATATCTCCAATGAGTTACCTACTTATTAAAACCAATGGTATAAAGCCAAAGACTGCCTCGTTGGCCGAGTGGTCGCAAGTGCGACTCGGCAAGGGGTCTCGGGTTCCATTCCCGGGTCGGACAAAGTACTACTGAGTTTTAAAAAAAATCTTAGTAGTAACACGGAGCCTGGAATTGTGCCCGGTATAGGTATGGCAATAGGCTCACCCCCTATTACATGGGACTCATAACATAAATAGTAAAAAGTGTGTGCTACTTCTGTGTGCACCACTGCTTACCACTTCGGGGATAAAAGATGTGATATGAAAGCCACATTAAATATACGCCTCATTATTAAATTGCAAGAAAATTTTACGAGTTGTCACAATAAAACGCAGCGGCCATGTCACATTGATGTTCCATGCCAATACTTTAACGATAGTCGTGCAAAGCCACAATTATTTACCCTAACACCACAAAACAGGCGTACGACACAATCAGTTACGTGACCACATCTAATTCACATCCAAAAATGGACACAAACTTATTAAACCTTCCATTGTATAATAATATCGTTAATAACCACCATAAACTACAAAAACAGTGAACAAAAACAGAAAAGTAATTTGCCCTAACCATCCTTCATTGGTGAAACAATAGTATTGAATCGATACAATATAATCGAAGGCACCAACGACCTGTCTCCCAGCGCGATTCAAGAGACCAACCCTTTGTCTCCCCCCATTTATAGAAGGTTGTATTCATCCACCGTGGAGGGGCGCCATCGTCCATTCAAACAGACAAGACAATCCCAATTCAGACGGGTATAAAAGCGAAAACAATGTCGCTAACATAGAAAGGAACAATCCGGCTCCGAGGACCAGCGGTAGTCTCACTCGCACGCGGGTAAATGTTACTTAGAGAGAAAGAGATAGGAACAACAATGGCGGAAAGCGCCGCCTAATGACGAATTTGCGCTTTTCATTCCACAACAGAAGTTTTTCCCGGTTCCTCATTATTATGTCGATACTTTAGGGTGGGTTCGTATCTTTTGTTGCCGCGGATGATAGGATCGTGTGCTTAGTAACGACAATGGTATAAAAGACTAATGTTCTATTAAAATTACGTTGACGGTTTTCCCGATTGTTCGAGAAAAATCCGCTTTATTTTCCTTTGGTGACAAAATGTTACGCTGTAGCCCATAAGTAGTACAAATTGGTTGTGAGTATCATGTTTGGAAATTTCATCCCAAGAACAGTCAGAATATGGACGGTTCGTTACCTACCTAATTCATTATACTGTCGGAGCAAGATGAAAAAAGATAAAAATCAAATAAGGAATAAAATAATATCACCCATCGTTCTTGACCGCGTATTGATTACTGAATTGAACACTCAATGCGACAATTATTACATAAAAATACAAACACCTCTATATTTTTTACAACTCACGTAATCGCAACATTGTCGCAAGATTATCGTAAATAAACGCGGTTATAATGAATCATTCATGCAGTTTTACATCAAAGCGATCGATCTAAATATAAATTAAATTGGCAAAGGTCGATTAACTGGATTTCAGACAAAGCGTTGAGAACAATGATTGATACTGTTCGATTGTGACCGGGCATTGCAACTATTGTCAGCGCTCGAATCGAATAGGTTTTCACAAGTTCTATAGTTAGTTGGAAAAGTTCGTCTGGTCCAGTGGGCGTTGGTAATTACGCGACCTATTATGTAATTTAATTATTTAATCAAGTATTTGTTTGTGAATGATTCGAGGCTATTTGGTATTTATAATATTATAGTATTAAGAGCAATTTTGTGGATTCATATTACTGTTTCTTTTTCTTATTTAGGGATTTATTTATTTACATTTTTACGTTGATATATCTCGTAAAATGCAACGCAAATGTTTGAGATATCTTTGGTCTATCCACGACTACAGAAACCCGATGCTTGGAAGAAGCTAACTTATTGAAAGTAGCATATAAATTTTATTAATTTCCGGCAATTGTACAATTTTGTATTCTTACACGAACCTTACATAAACCATAAAGACCGCAGAGGACAGGGGCGTTTGGAAGAGGGTTGTGCATCATGTGACGCGTGCACCAGACTAGACACGACCTTCAGTAATGAAGAAAACGACTAGGAAGAAGAAAAAGACGAACCTGATAAAGCCATTATAATGGACGATACATTAATACTTATTAACTTAGTATTATAACATTTTTGATACAAAAAGAACAAGTCCAACAATGAAACGAATAAAAAATAACCTTAACATTATTTTAAAACAAACAACACGCGACATATTTCCCGTGTAACAGTGTTTTTTAACACAAAGCCAGACACGACTTATTTATACAATTGCCTACCATTTTGAACGCAGCACATTCAATATTAGCTAATTACGATTGCATTATTCATTTGCATATGACAAAAGAAAAACAAACTTTTCAATACAGTAGAACAAATACTTTTGTCCACATCGGCTTTCCAACAGCCCACTGTGCACGGCTGTCACTATAATTTTGTGCACACAAGTGTCACTGTATCTATACAAACGCAACACTGTGCACTTTGTGTTTCTGAGCTGTGAGGTCGAAGATTTTTTTCTTGAATATTGTTTTGAAGACAATGCAAATTATAATGTTAATAGCTACTGCATGGTTTTTGTTGTTGTTAGCTGTCGTGAAAGTTTTTTAAAGAGGTTTTAAGTATTTTTCTTTTTTGTGGTTCTGTTTGCAAATATCTTGATTTTAGAAAAAGGTTTTCTTGCATAACTTTGTCATTGAGAGAAGCTTTGTGATCTTTGGGCAACCTTAGCTTTCAAACATTTCTGACTTTTAAGATTTAGTTTTAGTTATCGATTGCGGAGTAGGTAACCTATTCCTAATGTTTGTCTTAAATAATAGGTAGCCAAAGTACTAATATTTAACCAATTAGCCTAGTAAAATAAATAGCGTAAAATTTGTGTAAGTAAATAAAGCGCTTAAAGATATAATAAAATCGTTGATGTAATTTTATATTTACATCAAATTACACATATACACGTGTATATAATAAGTTACTTAATATTATAATAAACAAGTAATTAAAACACGGCCCCATACGAAAATTACAAAAATACGTTCATGAAAATTTACACTTACAAGTCTCCATATTACATTACAAAATCGACATTCTTGTCATACAATTCGACTCCCCACATTTTTCGCTCTGGCAACCCTACATGTATTTATTTATTCTTAATTAACGGCAACACTAACAATCGTAGCAACAATACGCACGTGTCGATACTACTAAAGTGTTGCCACTACACAATAATTATTTCCTACAGCGCCCGTTCGTTACGGGAAAACAAAGGCATGGGATGGCAACACTGAACAATGATTGTCCGGTATTCAGTTGTGGAATTAGGTATAAATGGTTATTAGTTATTTGTTTCTAATTGGTAGAGATATATTACAAATGAGTGTTATTAAAAACAACCGTCTATTTGTCATTTTCTTACACACGTGCAAAATCTTTTGATGGGTTTTTCCTAGAACTGGGTTTCAGCAAAACACTTTGGAACTGTTTCTAGGAACACTCAAATTTCTCTCATTTTTTACCATTAGGTACTTACCTATCACGTGGTAGCACTTAAGCAGTGAAATTGTCATTTTATCGTGTAACAGATCATATTGATCGATTTCCTCTTTCAACATATTTTTCTATTGAAAGAAATATGATTGTGTTGTGTTGGTTCCCTTTGTAGTGACGACAAAATACAAGCTTTTCAACTATCAAAGCGAAGGCTCTTATGGAATATAATATCTAGGTTATTGGCAGGATAACTAGTATTGTATACCTATCTTTTATAGGCAATATAACCTCTAACGAAGAAAGAAAATACACAAATATTGATCGACAAAACATCGTTCGATATTTCCCACTCTGCCTACCAACAGCACCATGAAATTTAGGACATCAAACACCTAACATTAGACAGATCATATATAGCGGCTTTGTCAGTAACAATCATACGAACAAACATAACAAAAAACAAAGCATTCACCAAACACACATGGTAGGTACAATACTCTCGGTAACAAAGAAGTTTCCTCTCTACCTAGTATTAAAGAGGCTATTGTGTTCAGAATCGGACGAAAATGCTCTTCATTACTCTGAAAGCTTGTGTGCCATGCGACAATGGTGAAACGGGGAGGAATGGGCGGTGGGGGGCAGGGTAGCGAGGAGTTGGGGG